ACGTGCTCCCTCGCCATTTTCTCGACAGAAACGGCAATATCAAGGCCTGACCTGGGGTCAAACATCCCGAAAACGCGAAGGGAAAATTTGTGTTCAAAAGCATACAATTCAGATTTCAGAGCCTACTGCACCGATTGTTGCGAAACCTTCACCTTAGATGCACCACATCTGATTCCCGATTATGACAATTTGGTAACCCTATATCAGGTCAAAAGTTGCCAGATTTTACAAATTCAATGATTCTTACCTGCAGACAGCTCATCCCGAACGCATTGCTCCGATCGTCCCGAAACGTTCGCCATTTGGTGGGGCATACTTAGCAGTTGCAATGCAAACCGTAAAACCATACGCTAATTGTCTGTTTTTTTAGTGTCCAAGCGCGCGACCATAGTTATTTTTATTTTTGCGGTCAGAAACATTACGGCGATTACATTTCTACACAGTTTGCGCGCAAATGCAAGGGCGTTGTCTTTTTTGGAGAGCAAATGCGTACAAAATGCATTGTACGATATTCAATTCGCCGCATTTGGGACAGTCGAAATCGCCGAGTAATGCACTGGCACGGCTGCCCGCAACACGCATTGTAAACCTCAAGGTTCTGGTTGACCATAGCAGTGACGTCTTTTCCACCTTTCTTGTCCATTTGCTTCTGGGACTTGTACCTCGGTGACAAGTGTTATACAAAACGCAGGCAGCGCGTCCTCAAGAACGATTCTGAGGTCATGGATCTGTCTCAGTTGGGCACTGACGAAATCGGTCTGTTTCGGTGAGGCGCATCCAGCTTACTCTCACAGCCGGGCACATCAAATTTACAGCACCCGTCACAGCCGTGACCCAGGCTCAGTTCGATTCGGCGGACCTCTGGGCGACTTGGGGGCCAGCAACCAATAAAAGATTGCTGACGAGGCATGTACGTTATCACGACAGTACGATATTTGCACAACACACACAACGACCAGCCACGCACCACGACGTGGACCCTGGCCACGTGGTGGTACGTTTCAGGGCGATGTGCGTTCTGTTAATCGCGGCGACACCATGCCCAATTCAGAGCGTGACTTTGAGTAAAACACTTCAACTTTGGAGCTAATCAAGTGAAACCGACATCATTAACCTCATAAGGTCACCCTAGCCAAGCTGCGCATTTTTTGTTTGTTTGTTGATAAAGCATAACAGGAAAAGACATAAATGTAAATCAGTACTATGCTTGCAGCTTCAAAAGGGTATCACGGTAAATGGCGCACTGAATGGTAGTGTTTCGCAGCAATCGGCGTTGCAGGTTTGAGAAATGGATTGTCTGCCAGCAATAACTTAGAATTCGTGAAATTTCACGACTTTTGACCTGAACAAGGGTAAACGAATTTTGAATGCAACACGGAATCAGGTGTAATGCATCCAATGTTAAGGTTTCACAGCGATCGGCGCGGCGATCAGAGCGATCGGCTCCGAAGTCTGGGTCGCCTGCCACAGCATGCATAATTTCCATTCGCGTTTTCGAGGTGTTTAACGATAGGTCAGGTCTCGATATTGCCTCTCATGATTTATATCATTGCATGCAATCGATTGGTACAGAGAGCATGGCGATCAAAACGGCCAGACAACGAGCGTGTCTGTTTCGTATGTCCGTTTTTAGGCCCTGCCTCCTCTTCCTCATGTTTACATTGTTTCCTGCCGGATGGTGCCCTCGTGATCAGCTAAGCATCGAGTTAAGAGAGCGTATTGTACAGAGAGACTATCGGTTTAAAAAAACATACTTAAAAGCAGGCCAAAATTGCAAAAGACAAAACAACAGTAATGATTAAAATGTGAGTAATTTTATTTGATTCCATATTATGACTTCAGAAAGTATAACTGAAATAAAAAATATTTTGTATTCTCAGTATTAGAAAACATCTTGTTAAATGTTTAGCCAGCTTATATTAAACCAGATACTGGCGCATTTGGCACGTTATTGACGCAGGGCTGGCGAAGACCAAAGAATCGTGGCACGGGCATACATTCGGGTACATCTGATCATCCCTGAACGTGTTTGTTATTGTGTTTGTGTTTGCATATCCGCGGGCAGAAAGCGAGGGTCAGTACGTAGTCTCTTACTTGTTTCTTTGTGTCACTAATATAAACATGCAGACACCGAGCCAATAGGGCGCAAACTTACCGTTCAGAAGTGTCGTGCTTGGCTTCTGTTCTGTCCAGCATCCCGGACTTTCTGGACATCGTGGGTTTGGGCATGTCGATGCAAGCCCATTATTATTTTTTTGGATGGGGGGGGGGTGTAATTCAGCCCCTTGAAATGAGTACCAATGGTGTGTCATAAAACAAGCAGCAACGTGTTACATGTATCTTGTGTGACCGGGCAGGCATAGGTGAAGAAATGAATTTTGCAGACTGACCTATCATAGGTCAGTCTGCAATATTAATTTTTTTGCACTGGATGCCTTGCAAGCATCGATGTTTGTAAACTCCTTGTTGTGTGTGGTGAGCATATGCCAGGAATAAGTGTATTATATTGTAACATTGCTGCCACAATTTGTCTTGGCCCCTTTTTGCCCAGAATTATCCTTGTTATGTCATAATTATTTTGAAATATGGCCCCCTATGCACTGAAATTTTGTTGACCATGCTTAAAACTAAGTCTCTAGATTGATGACATCCATTGGTTGACATTCTTGCGGGGACCAGGCCAAACTGTGCTGAATTTTCAACATGTTTTTGCTTAAAAAGCTAGGGAGTATTTTTGCTTCAAGTTGCCCAAGTAGCATTTTAATTCCTTGTAACAGTGGCTCTTTTGCACTGGAACTAGTGGCAATTACATGTCAAGCTTGGACCTCTTCAGTTTATTGTGTAAATACACAAACATTGTTGGGCTGCCACTGTTATTCCAGCTTGGACTTTTCACTCAGTTTGGACAAACTGATATGCCACCAGAATAGAAATTGGCACCAGTGATATTTAAAGTGTAGTTAAATCCAGGTATCTAAAATCCTAAATATTCCATATTTACCCAAACCTCAAACAGCAGAAGCTTTTGTTGTGTGCATTGGCACACTGTGCCACCCACTGGGAGCTATTGCTGTCTGGTGTTGTGCTGTATTCAGGTGGCTAATTCTATGACATACCAAGATTAAAAAAAATATTTATTACCAATGATGTCTCATGAGCTACTGTGATGAATATTATACATGGGGAGATGGGACTGAGGGCACTGGCTTGAAAATGTGTCACATGCTTGAAAAATATATCACCAACGAGGCCACTGATGAGGCTGTACTAGGCTTGGACAGCCCTGCTAAAAAGTTATGGAGAATAGTCCTGTCCTGGTCCTAGTACACTGACCAAATTCAACCTGGCTGCTCTATTCTGCTCCATCTAATGTTTCATATTTTAATAGTTTGTGCATAGTAATCTACATTTCTTGAAGATCCAATGATGTCAGGATACTTGAAGATCCAATGGTGTCATAGTGTGTGCACAATAATTTACATTGCCTTAAGATTCAGCAATGTCATAGGATATACCACCTGATTGTCTAGCCAGCATCAGCTTAAGGTATTGGACAGCAGTTGTTGCATGCCTTCACAAAATGCAGCATGCAGAAAGTTTTATCACATTTTCCCTCACGTAAATGGCCCATGTAGATGCAAATTGGATATTGTAGTGCTGGATCAGCCTTTTGAATCATGGTCGCTACTATGATGCTGGGCAGTGGCACAAACCTGCTGCATCTTTGGAATTGCCATTGTATACTGATGTTTTGATTTGATGGTCCAAGTGCATTCCAGGAATGTGTACTTGTAGGAATTTGGTGCTGTTTGGGAGTGGAGTGCATGGTGCTAGTTCACACAATAGTGGCCTGGTTAATTTTGCTCAGTAAAAACTCACATCCAATTCTAAACTTCTGGGTCACTGATGTGAAGCCTATGGTCTGGACTAGAATGTTGGCATGTAAAATCATTAGTGAGTGTTAGCTTGCCAGTTAATGTTCATCAGAGAGAGATCAGAACATAGAAATGTCAAACTGGGAGCTGTCATACCATTTGTGTGATTTGTAGACCGAGTGAAATTTATGGAGTGGTGAATAAAGTGAATTTGTGCTTGCATAAGTGGCTATAGCACTATGGGTGTTCTCAAATAGTCACCAGACAATTTAGACGAACAGTCTGAATAAATCACTGTGGCATGTACGAGCTGCTGTAAAGTCTTGTGTTTCAGGTCAAGCTTCTTAATCTCGGCCTCGATTGATATCGGTCGGTCGTCTCAATCTCAGCCAGTCAGGCTATGGACCAGCTTCAACAGCAGCAGCAGGTCCCGGAAAGCGCCGTCTTCCGCACCGTCTTCTCCTATGTTCTGCTGATCCTGTTCGTGCCCGTGGCCGCCTTTTTCGCGTCCAAGAGCTTGCTGTTCCAGCTTGTGCTGGGCCTGGACGCTTCGACGAGCACGCTGTACGCGGCCGGCGTGGCCGTCGTCGCCGTGCACGCGTCGCTGGGCCTGTACGTCGTGCGCGCCTTCCGCGAGCCGGAGAAGGGCGGCAAGCGTGACTAGCATGGCGGCCGCGTTCGAGCCCGGCCTGCTCGGCTGCCGCGTCCGTCTGGCCGCCGAGGAGGGCCACTACTGCGGCACGGTGCACGCGGTGGGCGCGCGTGACGGCTCCGTCACCCTGCTGGGCGTCACGTTCGGCGACGGCGAGCAGCAGCAGCGGCTGCACGGCGTGCAGAAGTTCTTGCGCGGTGACGTGCGACGCATCGAGGTGCTGGAGGCCGGACCGGAGGCGCCGGCTGCGCCCGCCGCGCCGCCGCCGGTGCCGGTGCCTCCGCCGCGCCGCGACGCCATGCTAATGGACCGCTCGTCGCGAGACCGGCCGACACCGTTCCCGCAGCGCCTGGTTGACGACAGCTTGCTACTGGCGCAGGTGGCGCTCGGCGACAGCGACGACTCGGGCGGCGAGGTGGCAGCGCCGGCAGCGCGCGCCGCCTCGCCGCCGCCACTGCTGCCGCGGCCCGACGGCTACGCGCTGCTGGAGTCGGCTGCCGAGCTGACGGAGGCAGTGGCCTTCCTGCGCCGCCAGCAGACGCTGGGGCTGGCGGCTGAAGGCGTGCTGCTGGGCCGGCGCGGCCAGCTCAGCCTCCTGACGTTTGCCGCCGCCGAGTTCGCGTTCGTGGTGGACGTGGCGGCTTGCGGCGGCGCGGCGGCCGTGCAGCAGCTGCGTCCGCTGCTCGAGGCGGCCGACGTGCAGAAGGTGGTACACGATTGCCGCGGCCTGTCCGACCTACTGGCGCACCAGTTCGGCGTGGGCCTGACCAACGTGTTCGACACGCAGGCGGCGGAGGTGCTGCTGTACCACCGGCAGCACGGCGCCATGCCGGCCTACGTCAGCAGCGTGGCGCATACGCTGGTGACTCGGCTCGGCTTGCTACCCAGACAGGTGGGCGGGCTGAACCGTGACCATGTCTGGCTTTGACTCTGGTCTTAGCCCTGACCCTGACCTTGACCCTGACCCTGACTCTGACGCTGACTCAGCCACGGACCCGAACTCGGACCCGGACTCGGACCCAGACCCGGACCTGGACGCGGATCCGGACCCGGACGTGAACCCGGATCGCCACTTTTTTGTGGCGCGTCGGAGCGAAGGAGCCACCACATCCATATCGCTGCGGCTTTCCATCGGATTCCTGTGGGCCATCAGTATGCATGGAATATCTCAGAGCAGAACGAGACGCCTTAGGGCAGTCTCAAGTCTGTCCGCTCGGGAGAAGTCATGAGAGCACGTAGATCAGACTCCCTGGGTATATTTTCCCCGCAGCCTGTCAGTGGGATTATAGTAAAAAGACACCTTCGATGTGATGAAATAAGCTCACTTGTAACTATTGGTATGCTAAGCTCAAAAAACTGCCCCAGACCAAAAATTGCTATTCGGTGTACATGCTCCACAATGCGTCATCGTCTGATTGCGCCATGGAATGCTTGACGACAGAGGGGCTGCCAGACTGGTGTCGCAAAATTTCTCCCCAGGCGGACGAGCTGACCCACCTTTAGCACTTGAACTTCCCGCGAGAGATCGTTGTAATTGGTGCGGCGATTTCAGGGCCCAAGTGTCGTATGCTCGTGTTTTGACCCTTTCTCGTTGTGTCGTGTTCATCCGTGACTTTATGGTATTTATTTGCATGACGCTCTTCTGAAATTATTCGATTACAAAGTGGATTTCCGTAAAAACCGGTACCACGGTCCAGCTTTCCATATTATATCGCCCATGGTATCATATGGTATTTATTTGCATGACGCTCTTCTGAAATTATTCGATTACAAAGTGGATTTCCGTAAAAACCGGTACCACGGTCCAGCTTTCCATATTATATCGCTCAAAACGTAGTTCTTGTTTGAATATTACTCTGAATGCATCACATTAGTTTATAGCCAATTGAAGTCTTTTGGTTTCGTGCCCCCGCGGCCTGGGTGACCTTGAGGTAGTCTGCAAAACTTCGCAGACGGCTAACTCGGAAACCAAGGGTTTTGTCTTACGAAGGTGAAGGCCGAAAACTGCACCCAATGATCTTTAGAATAGCCATATCAGTTCAGATCCGCATACAAATATGCATCACTTCTTTTAACTGCCTTTTGCCGGGCGCTTGAGACTCGCATCTTTATGGGGGTTCCTCAGCACTCCGGTCATTGTTGTCATGAAAGACAATCGAGTTGTCCACAGCTGACGGAAATAAGTCATTTTGATCTCATCCACTCGATCATAACTTGGAAATTGGTTTTGTGAAGACGAAGTCAGAAGATGGCCCAAGTTGTCAGAGGGCTTCCATAAACTAATTATAACTCGTAAACCGTCTGATGAATACAAAGGTTTTTTGCGCAGTGGTGGGTGGAGCAAACTCGCCGAAAAGTCCGGATGGGTTGGGGGTGTTTGCTCGTATAGTTGTTGGCTCCAGTCTCCACTCTCATCCCGCTGACTGCCAATCTTCCCACCCCCGCCGACTTGATAAGTAACGGACGGCAAATTCGAGGATGTATCTCGTGTTGGTCGGGTCTTATGAATGGGTTCATTAGCAGGCACTGGCTCAGACTCTTCAGCACATGCAGAAACGTCCAATACGCTTTCTAACATTTTCTTTGGCTGCTACGCTGAATTCCGAACTCAAACACCTGTTGCAATGCATGTATTGTTCAGCCCTTTTGATATGCAAGTACGAGAATTCACCATTATCAATACAAGTCCGGTTGATTGTTTCAAACCAATTTAAATTACGGGGATTTTCGGTCCATGTCGCGTTATTCTCGCGCACGAGGCTGTCAACGTCACGCGACGAAGCTGGACTATAACACTGCTGTTCCATTAAGCCTTTGATTGTGTTACCATTAATTGCTGTCAGCTTGTGTCGTGCGGACACATCCCGCCACATAACTCAGTTGTCGATAGCCCTCGGCGAAATGAAACAACACCGCGGTGCCATGAAAACTGGATCCTGGTGCCATTTATTGCTGCTACTTTACATCTCGCCACGAAATCCGGGCACATCACTCAGACTTCCCGCCACAGCGCGCCCTCTATTTTTGTCTGCTCACAACGCACGATACTGTATATTCGGAAAACGCGTCACACCGGTGGAACTGAAGCTCCCCAGTCCCAGCCACCGCTGCTTGTGCTTCTGCCGCCGACAGCTGGTGACCGCGGGCTGGCGTCGCGCCGCTGTGCCCGTGTGGTCGCGGCTCCGTGCCGAGTGCGGAGGGCGGCGGCCCCTGACCTCCCTGGGGTGGGCGCGGCGGTCCTCTCCCCCCCCCCCCCCCCACCCCCACCCCCACCGCCCACCCGCGGGGGCGTGTTGTCGCCGCTCGCGGGAACCACATTAGTGGGGCGTCCGTCCACCGGGATGCGGCCCGGACAACATGACTGGGAACACGAATTGATCTGCCGGTTCGCCCGCGGCGCCGGCACAAACACGTCTGGTCAGGCAGCGTGGCGGCGCGTGGGGCGCCGCCGCCCGTCGCCGCGGGGCATAAACAACCGCCCGGTGCCCCGACGGCGGCACGGAGTTATGGATGCACGTGTGCGCAATGAGAACGTGCTAACGGGCGGCGCAGTTTGCGCGCGTTTCTCGGATGTTGACCGCTCGGGCTTGCATCACAAGAGGCGGTGCGATCGCGCGCCGGCGGGCTGTGAGCGCTCACGAGCTGTGGGCTGGTCTGGGCTCGCAGTTCGAACCGACGTGGCCTGGGTCTTGCGAGTCGCGTCCATAACCGTGCTTGCTGTCCGGCGCTGGTCCACCGTGTCCGCTGGCCGTGCTTGTCCACCGTGTCCGCGGTTCAAGCCGTGGCCTCTGTGTCGGCAGGTGTTCTTCCCGCACTTCCGATTGGAGCGCATGCGCGAGGACCAGCAGGTGTGGCTGAAGCGGCCGCTGGCCGAGCCGCTGCTCGAGGGAGCCGTCAAGAACGTCGTCTACCTGCGCGAGCTGCGCCACGTGCAGATGGAGCGGCTGTTCAGCACGTTCGTTCGCTGCGTAGACGTCTACCTGGGCGCCGTGCGCGACGCGGACGACGAGGACGCCTCGGCGGCGCCGGTGAGTGGGCAGGGGCGTGGCCTGAGCGGAGCGCGAGGCGGCCGGAGCGGCCGGCTGCCACGCCCGGTGGCCCCCCAGCTCCTCCGGAATATGGTATGTCCGGTCCATTACTTTGTTGGAGTGAGATTACAAAGGCGCAGGCGTAGCGTGATTGGTCGCTTCCCGTGCGTATCCAGATGCCAGTGTGCGTAATCGACGAGAGTGTGGCGTGGCGCTTGCTAATAACAATATCATGAGTCACTGCCGTCTTTGACTTCCCGCCAGTAAACGGAAGTAGTTATCTAGATGACTTTTCTCAAGTTTTTTTTTGAGACGTCTCTTTGGAGCATGCTTGCCATTTCATCACACGATTTAAAAAAGGTGATCTCAAGGACGCAGTGGCCTTTGTCCGTGGTGTGGTCCTCCACTTATAGTCCCTGTCCGTGGTATCCTCTACCACTTATGGTCCTTGGCCATTGTGTCGTCTACCACTTATGGTTCATGTCTATGGGATCGTGTACCACTGATGGTCCGCAGGCCGTGTTGTCGTCTATCACTTGTGGTCCTTGTCCGTCGTGTCGTCTACCACTCATGGTCCATCCACAGGCCGTGTTGTCGTTTATCACTTATGGTCCTTATGGACCCTGTCCAAGGTGTCGTCTATCATTTGTGGTCCTTGTCCGTCGTGTCATGCACCACCCATGGTTCGCAGACCGTGATGTCGTTTGCTTCCCATGGTCCGCCGTCCGCCGTTTTCTCTCATGGCACGTGATTGGTGGTATCTTTTGCTTATCGTCCGCGGTCCATGATGTCGTCGTCTCATGGCTCTTGTGTGCTTCCATGGTCTGCGGTCCGTGGTGCCACTGATACTGAAGTGTGGGTCTCTGAACCAATCTGTGTAGCGTTCCGGCCCATAAACATTTCCCCTTCCAGTTCGTGTGAGCTATATCACGGACTGTTGAGCACAGAGCGATGGAACCGACGGATTTAAACGAAAACTTCACGCATAGCTCGCAAGGTTTAAGTTTGGAACGCATTAGGTCACTGACTTGTGACTTCGACTCGGACCCGGGTCTTGGGTCTCGGATGTCGGATCTCGGATCTCGGATCTCAAGGCTGGGCACGGTGGTTTGTGCAGAAATGGCGCTGCGCGACTCCTTTACAGCTCTTTGTGGGCTATATTGTCTTGTGCAGTGCTTAAGTGACTGAAAAATTAATTTAAATGGCACCGCGGGGCACCGTGACGGCTATTTAAGGTCAGGGGCGCCAATAGCAGCGTAACGGCTATTCAAGGTCAGGGGCGCCAATAGCAGCGTAGCAGCTATTTAAGGTCAGGGGCGCCAATAGCAGCGTAACAGCTATTTAAGGTCGGGCGCCAATAGCAGCGTAATAGCTATTCAAGGTCAGGGGTGCGTCAGAGTCTCCAAAGCCGCCTAAGACAGTCAGCTGGTCTTTCATAGAAGATCATGGCCGTCGTCGTGCATGAGGATCGCATGACTCAGCGACACGCTTTGGCTCATGTCAGCTGAATGCTGCGGACGCTACCGCGTGGATGGCGAATAGTGTATACTACAAGGTGGTCTAAATAGTCGGCATAAATAAAGGACTGAGATACCTACTGTGCTTTATATTTCCACCAGCATGTTGGTTGTGGACCCCGCGAAGAGTCGATCCCAGCCATCCCGGGCTGCGGAAGGTGGCGATGGAGAGGCCGGCTAAGCTGTTGAGGGCTGACCATTTCGCGGTACTTGATTTCGCCCCGGGTGATGCCCAGATACCGGAGTCCCCGGTACGGCGTCGTCTGCCGAGGATTGGGGGACTGCGCGGGCGACTATCGGCCCGTCGGCCTCGAAACGTGCCCCGTTTCCTGCAAACGTCGTCGCGCACTCCGTTATCTGTTCCCCATGGGGTCGGAACGGCGCGGGGCCCGCTATCACGGCCGGCCGGCTGGCCCCGCCGTGAACCGCCGCCCGGCCAGAAATGGAGGCAGTGTGTCACTGCGCCGCTGATACGGGCCCGCGCCGCTCTCCGCTCGACCTCGTGCAGAGGCGCCAGGCGTGAAGCGGGCCGCCGGCTGACCGATCGCGCTGCAGATGAGGGTCGGTCCGGCGGACCGCCTGTCTGGCGTCCTTGTGTCCCCAGAGGGCACACTGATAGCTTCATGAGCACCGCCGCTGGAAGCAATCGGCCTTTATAGTGCTAGTAGGCACTAGTCAACACGCATGGATGTTGAAAAACTGTGTATGTAAACGACTGAACGCTTTCGGCGTTTAAGTAATATTGGGCGTCAGGTAGTTAATTGCCTAGACCATTCCTGACTTTGGCGGTCTCAGACCGCTGGATCTTTTTGACATCGGACTCTAAGATGTCATCTGAAAGTTTAAGTGTTGTCAATTTGACACGATTGCATGCGCTGCAGGGCTCTCTGGTGGTTGCTAAGCTCTGTGGTATGCCCGTATTTTAGTTTCATTGGATCGTGAATCTTTATCACTCGTCCGAGGTGGTGTCGTATGGCTCAACGACGTCCTCGAATGACCGCGGCTTCACTGCGCTTGGCTTGAAGGACGTTACGTGAGTGCTAGACCACAAGTCGGTCAGGCTCCTAGAATGTCGTACTCGTGGGCTACACAAGGCACTTAACCAGGCTATCATAGACACGTGACTGGGTCACATTAAACACCTGCGGGCTACACTACACACTCGACACTGCGCCGACCTCGGCACGATTGAGCGGCGGCGCCCCGGCTGGGGACGCCATCTGTCGCTGCGTGGTCCACTGCCAGAGTGAGGCCGTGCCTCTGCGGGCGCGTCGCGAGGCGGCCGTCCCGTGCGGAGCGGTCCGTGTGGCGGGCCACGCTGTATGGACGATCGCTGTGATATAGCCGGGCGTTGGGGGCGCATCCCATCCGAAACAGAGAAGTTGGATCGTTCCGCCGCTGAGGAATCAGGATCAGCGCCGCGCGATGACATCGACAGAGGCTAAGCGGGTCCAGATGCCGCTCACTGTCCACGTGATTTACTGCGGGTGAAGATCGGCAGCCTTCCAGGCCAGGCAATGTGACTTGATTTGTAGGAAAGTTGTGCTCTGAATAACGGGGTGCTGACTACGTGATGAATAAGTAGCCTACAGATTGCTCTGAATCCATTCGTGAATTGATGGTGTTGAACTCGCAGAAAATTAATTGCCTGTCCAATATCTAACTCCGATTGTGTCCCGCGGCGTTTGCCTGTATCGCCAGCCCTGTGACGGCTTCGTCCTGTGCGCAGTACGAGACGCACCGCGTGCCGCTCGCGGTGCAGGCCGTGCTGGAGACGCCCCCGACGTGGCCCTCCCGCGCCTCGCCCGACTACGAGCAGCCCGGCCTCGTCAGCAACGTGCTGGTCGGCGTCGACGACGGCATGCAGTTCACGCGCAACGTGTGGCGTTCGGGCAGGCCCTAGCGGCGCGGCTGACGGACGCGGCCCGCCCCACCACCGTCACCAGCTCCGGCGGCGGCGGGAGCGGCCCGCCCCACCACCGTCACCTGCTCCGGCGGCAGCGGAAACGACACGCCCAACCACCGTCACCTGCTTCGACGGCGGCGGGCGCGACCCGGCTCGCCACCGTCGCCTGCTCCGGCGGCGGCGGGCCACCTGCTCGAGCGGGCGGCCGCCTCGCCGGCCGTGGTGCCTCCGCTGCGATGTGATCGCGGCTACTTCGTAGCGATGCGGCGGATGACGCGGCTAGGGGTGTGCCGGGAGGAGAGCGCTCGAGGAGGTGATTGTCAAGAGGCCTCGTGGTTATCTACCGGCGATACTTCGTGTTCACGCCAGCCAGCATTTTTATGTAGACGTGTTTTGCAGGTAGCAGGGTAATCGGTTGTAGCTCAGAATTACCTTGACGTGCTATGGTGGCAGACGTGTGTTCCTCGGGTGTCCGAACGAGTCATGCAGATTGGCAGTCGCATTTATCCTGGCCATCTCGCGCGGGTGCATCGTTATAAACAATACATGTGGATCCGGTGAGCAATTTGATTACTTGGCTGTGACAGTGAATGATCATCCCCGTAACACCTGTAAGTATTTCTTTCAAGACAGAATACTAAGTAGCCCTGAACTTTGCAAGAGGCCAGGCGATTTCTCGGCTCAATGCGACTTTTACACATGGTCCGATGCCTGTCCAGCATGCCAGCGGACGGCGAGGTCGGTCAAAGTGTAAGCTACCACTCGCCATCTCCGGATGCGGATGTTTGGCTGCCATTCTCGCGTAATATTCGGTATCCGTGCGCATAATTTCAACAGATTCGGGTCTGCTGGCCGAAGCACCGACCACCGAGCAGCTCGCCGGCGGGCTGCTGGCCCGCGCGTCGTGGCAGGTGGGGAAGACAGCGTCAGTGGTGCAAGCACCCGGCACGTCCGAGCCGTCACGCCCCGTTTTCAGAGGCTGCCGTGCAATGCACCGGAGAAGCATGTCTGTATCAGCCGTCGCCGTCTGTATCCGGCTGTCTGTACCAGCCTGAAAGATCGGAGACGGATGCCCGCTCGGGTCGTTGTCGCGCCGCACGTCTCGACACCCGGCCACCCGTCGCAGATCTCGCGGCGGCATTCCGCATGCATTCGACACACCACGTCATGTTTTGAGCCCCACTGCTTGGGGTTAGCGCGTTCGTTCGGCGCCGCAGCTCTCGCGACTTGCACGTGGTAGTTAGCTGATGCCTTTGTCTGACTGGGTCACGTTCCACTTCACGTGACACGGGGACACCTCAGCCAACGTCGCGCTCTGCCGCTAACGACGGTGGTGCCCGACGCGTGCCCACGTGCCGTCGGCTGGCGCGACCGCCCGGGCCGGCTCCGGCCTCGCAGGACGTCCATCTGACGCAGGCCCGTGCCGACTCATCGTCAAAGTATGCAGCAGCGCACATAGCGCACCGCTCAGTTCATGCTGATTGCACGCCGGCCGTCCCGCCCGAGCTCGCCGCAGCCTCGGAATGTAATCTCCAGCCCCGATGCCAGATGCACGCCTGGCTGGCGGCTCCTGCCGGGGCGGCGTGTCGCCGTGCGGCCTGGCAAAGCGTCACCTGTGATCCACTGCGTTGGTCTGACGCTGTCATAGTGTCAAGTAAGGGGCACAACGATCGGTACATCGGTGATCAGGGGTTGCCTGGCAATCACCCCAGTGTCGTCAGAGGCGGCGCAGCAGGAGCGTAGGTATCGGTTGCCGCTTCCCCTCTGCGGGGGGGGGGGGGGGCAGGGGATGGGGTGGTAGGAATGTATTTCCGCCCGTTCAAAATTTTGAGGAGGCCTCTTCCCTACTTGGGGGCAGTATAGCAACCCTAGATTATCAGAATTCACGTAAATAAGGTCTTTGTAACTGAGCTAAAAAGTGACAAATCGGGCTCAGAAGAACCCTTTCCTACATCGAGAGACCCATTTTCTGGATCACGAGGCGACCTTTGTGGATAAGGTAGCCCATGCTCCAAGTTGGCAGGTCTAATGTTATGTTAAGGAGGCTCCTTTGCTAGCTCGGGGGTCCCCGTTCCGAACTAGGAGGCCCCTGTTCTGGGTTAGAAGGCACCCTTTGTATTCAGGAGGGTACGGGAATAACGGGGCCTCTTGGCTAGATTTGACAGCACCTTTTTTGAATGGAAGGTTCCTGTCCTGGAATAAGAGGCCTCTTCATCAGGAGGAGGCCTTTTTCTGGGACAGGAGGCTCCATGTTATGATAGCGGGACCCTTTGCCGGATAATCAGATGGACACCATTTTGGATTTTCTTTAATTGTCGACATTTAGCTATTTGGATATAGTACATTTAGCATTTTGATTCAGGGTACACACCCTTGGTGCCCTCTTCAAACGTTGCTGCCCAGCAGCCCCCCCCCCCCCCTTGTGAGACGATCCCATTTTGCCCAGGAGGCCCCCTGGAAAACCTACCCCGACTCGAAATCCACGGCGCCCCCCCCCCCCCCCTCACCCCCGGTGTTGTATAACCTTTCCGTCGACAATGGAGGACAAGTGCGTGTTGTGTCGACGTATGCTTTGAGGGTGTTTGTTCCGCGCGTGGAATGAGTTTTTTAATTAAATAATCGTGGGCGGCGTGCGGGGGCTGCGAATACAGCAAGCCTGAGGCGGCAGACGGCGGCGGAGCTCAGCGCCGGCGTCTGACTCGTATGACGGAGCAGCTTGGGCCCGGCGGATGCGCAGAGAACTGCAGCAGAACGGAGAACTGCATTCCGGAGGAAATGCATCCCAACATCGCGCCCAACATAAACGCGAGGCGGCGAGAGCTGGCGGAGCGGCTCACCAGGCGGCTCGCGCAGCCTGGTGACCCGGACGGCGAGGCAGCTGTCCAGCTGCTGACTGTGCTGTCTGGGCCAGCCATCATGCCGTCACCATCCTGCCATCCTGTTTAGCCTGTTGTGCGTTATGGAAACATCCCGCAGCTTACGGTACCCCCCCCCCCCCCGTCTTTTTTCACAGTAAGCTAGAGGAAATGTAAAATTTAAGCTTACGGCTGGTAGGAGACCACTGGATCAGTCATGCTAGCAAAATAAAGGAGTGCGATCAGTCACGTAGGAATCGCGCCAGCGGACCTTTCTGGTTTTATTCCCAGCCTTAAATAGGAGTGGTCGTGAAGGCCGTATTTCTAAATTTCATCATTTGTTAACATACTGTGCAGTGCACAATAAGAATGTAGATGATATTTTCAGGCTCATCCCTTGGCTTTATCCCATCACCTGTCGATTTCTTTTGTTTTCCATTGCTATAGACCCTTAGCCACAGGCCCCACTGCAGGGGTGGGAAGAGCTCCACCAACTTCAGTAAATTCTCCATATTTGTTATGACATTGCCCGGAATGAAGCGCTTCAGAAACGTCAAAGTTTCACTAAACTTTTGAACCTGATGGGTGACGGAGCCTTCCACATAAAAGTGTACTTAATGCTCGGTAAGTATAGCATTTCCTAGGACAAAACCATTGGACACATGTATTGGATTAGTACACGATACGGACCTTGTCGTACTTGCAACTAAGAACGCTTGGTTAATTTATGAACTTAATTCATTAAACAATGAATCAGACCACGTTCATGGCATAGGTATAATTTACTGGGCGAAACCTAAGCAGCCACATTTGACTTACATGACATCCGTTAAATTACAACCCAATCAGTCTCATATTACGGCTCAACTTATTCACATTGCACTTCCAGAAAACAATTGGTGTAAGTGCTCCGAAGCTGTCAATTCCCCTCTGCAACTGTTTAATACATCCCGCCTCTGCCAGTAAGTCAAACGGACTCTGTTAAATCGTAAGACCTTTATTAATTCTACATCAGGCCAACTACGGTTGGCCGGCACAGAGAATGTTTGGTCCTTGATCCTCTGTCGTGCCAACCCAGGTTCCCTGCTAACTGCGAATGGTGACAGGTTCTGACTTCGAGTCAGACGTAAGCTGAGATCAATCACAGCGTGTTGGTGGTTATGCCAGCCTCGCGTCATTCATGCAAATCAAAAGGTCCGTGAGTGTCTGAAGACCACGCTGATCCACACTCTCAGAACCGTGAGACGACTTAACACTCGCCATCGGACCAGCACAAATGTCGAGCATGATATCACACCGGTCCCGTCTGTGCAGGAGGCGCCTTGTGTGGCGGCAGAAGACCGCGGCTCTGTCGCAGCACGTGTGCACCCGGCGACCAGCCTCAGTGCGGCACCTGGACACATCAGGATCGCGAACCTCGATGGGTCGTCGGGCACGGTCATTAGAGCTGGCGGGCCAGGGTCTCAGGCTCGCCTAAGTGGTGCACCTTGTGCCACTTGTGATAATGGGCCGGTTCCCAGCGCTGAGTCAGCCCAGCTGCCTCAGCAGATCCCAAACGCGATCAGTTTGTTAGCTGCATAGCTAATGATTGCTGTTGTTTGCTGCATAGTAGTTGATTGCCGAAAGTTGTTTGCTGCATAGTTAATGATTTCCTGCATCTGCTTTCCATGAATCGGAAAGCAGAATCGTTTCTGCGAAAGAACCAGAGCAATAACGAGGACGGGGACAATGTTGAGTGGCAGGCAATTTCTCGGATGTGATAGAACTGTCCGACTGCCGAAGCAACGCCTACTCCTGCTGAGGGAGCGAGCAAAGGTTTGTCTGAGACGTTCCGCTTACGAAACTGAGCAGATCGTGATTGGAAAATTGCGTTAAGGGGGGCGCTACGCAAGTTGTGTGTACTTACCAGCGGCATTACTGAGTTTGCTCCGCGTTGATCTTCAACCCGTTTGTTCAAAACTGCATGCTCTTGAAGTCAGAACTCGTTCCAACATCGTTCCAAGTGCATTGCCTCGGGCTTCGAATCTACCTCCAGTGACCAAAACTTCAGGTGCTGTTCGCGAGATGTGCAGCTACAGCGCCTCCGGCAAACACGTTGATGTCGTTGGCGAAGACACAGAAGGACAGAGGTTAGAGAGAGTGGCATTGTCCTTGAATGACGTTGTTGACCATTGGCATATTTTTCGTTTTTGTTTTGTTTGTCCTAGATTTCCAGAAAGCGAATCACACTCAGCGTGATTCCTAGTATGTCAAAAACCGAAAAATGTCGACTCAATGAAATTACGATTTGATCAAAACTTTTGCGTGGTCGATCGCACTAAAGCAGTTGCTCGAATTCGGTAGGCAAAGAAAGGACATCTCTTCATGGTTAGTGACGAAGAGGAGTTGGTCTGGCATGTATATTGGTGCATTTCCGGCTAGTGA